TGAGAAAAAGCAGAACTCTGTCTGGAACTCAAGAGATTCTGTGGGGCACCTCTTACTATTTCCACACCTAGTAAAGAAGGTGAATGAAAAGTGTCAATAACCAAAAAAAGCAGGAACACTGGGAATTCAGATCCTTCAGGAATGGAGGCTTTGAGTCGTGCCTCCAGGTAAAGAACCCCAAGCAGCTGAGGTTTGGGCTGTGAGGGAGAAATATGGAATGGAGCCTAGAAGGAGGCCACGTATGCAAAGACAGCCTGCGACTGATCACAGAAAAGAAGCTTCTAGTAGTTTTTAACATTTTCTATTTTCTTGTTACATGTATGTGTGTATTTGTAGAAGCTATTTTCTTTTTTCTCCTCTTTCTTTGCATTTTTATTTATTTTAGATATAAGTTGTTGGAAGATAACTTAAGGTAACAAAATATTCAGTGGAACTTCATCTGAATTTCAGGAAAAAATATATATAACCAGCAATGGATAAAATGACTGTTGGGACGAGTATCTCCTCATTTTGGGAAAAGAGTGAGAACATCTGAAGATAGCTGGCTGTATGTATCCTATTAGGTGGAACTGTAGAGTTGTTTCGTTGGTGTACAAGAATTCAAATGTGTGTAGAAAGGTGCACAGAGGAGTTGAGTAACCAGAGGAGTGGACCTTTTAACATTTTATAGCCTCTCAGCGCTAAATTTATCCTTCACTTGTATCTCCAGAAATGGGTATGGGCCCTTTAAATATTCTTCCCCTGCCAGCTGGCTGGCCGTTAAGCACTTTCCACAGGGTGCTGGAGAGACCTTGCAGGAGAAAGGTGTTTCCTATCATGGTTCTGGTACGCTAGCTCAACTGACTTCCACAGCGCACTGGCTTCTCCAGCACCAGCTCCTGCCTTGTAAGCACAGTGGGAGTGGCTTCTCCAGCATCCAGCTCCCACAGTGCACTGTGGCTGGCAGCACCCATCACCCCACAACTTCCCCTGACATCCCCCTTGGGCTTTGGTAACAGAGTGCTTCTGCTAAGACACTTCTCCAGGACAGCTTTCCCAAGTATCCTATAGAACAGATTTCTAGCAAGTTCCAGAGAGCAGATTTCCAGCCAGCTCCGCTAGGGGTACCATGGCAGCCTCTCTGCCATTCAGTGAGCTGTGGCTGTGCTCCAACAAGTCTGCATCACATCCCTAGTAGGACTTCTCTTTGGGTGTTCTACCTCAGCCCTAGAAGTAGTGGATGCTTCTTATATCTGCTATTACTGTATTCCGTTGAGTGTTATCTACTTCTTACTAGCCAATCTCTACAGCAACCCCCTATTATTAATTCTTTTTAACAAACTTCCCCTGTTCAAGTTACTATGTGTTCCAGGAGCAATGAGCATACCCAACACCCAAAGCTTGGTTTCTAAATACCATTCTCCAATGGCTCATTCTAGTACTGAGGCAGGAAGAACACAAAGTGAGACTGGAGTATCCTACAGTGGCAGAAAGTAAGGAAGTGCTCAAAAGGCAAAACAAAACAACCAGACAAAAGGATGGAGGCATGTCAAAAGGACGCAGAAGCCACCTACCAGAACTCCCAACTGCCAAAGATAGAACAAATTAAGCAACAAAATAATGTAATGTTGACTAAGAACCCAAAATGTCATGTACCCAAGTTATACAAATGATTGATTAAATTGGGGAGAATAAATAAATCTTCCCTCCAGAAGAGTTCCAAATAACATACGCAGATATTCCTCCTCTCAGAGACATGGAGCTTAATCCCTTAATCCCAGTAGGCTAAATTTAGTGGCTTGATTCCAGAGAACAGCAAAAGGAAAGGGAAAAATAGTAACTTTATGTGGAGAAATACGGTAAACACTATACATTACCAATGATGAAGGTTAACCAAGTGATGGCATCATCAGTGACGTCATGTGAATATCATCATACTCCTGACATGATGTTAAGAGATGGGCACTCCAAATCTGCAGTGTTCTTTTCAAAACCTGTGACCCTAGTCTAGTCATGAGGAAAACAGTCTAGGGGACATTCTACAGGATACCTAGCCAGTTCTCTTCAGGATTGTCATGGTCATGAGAAACAAAGACTCAGAATCGTCATAGACCAGAGGAGATTGGGGAGACATGACAATGCAGTGTAGTGCCCAGGACTGGATCCCGGAACCGAAGGAGGATGTTAATGGAAAAAATAATGAAATCCAAATAAAGTCTAGAGTTTATTGAACTAACTGGTAGCATATTAATGTTAGTGTCTCAGTTTTGACAAGCCAATGGTGACTTAAGATGTTATCAAGGAGAAAACTGGGTGCAGGTAGGTGGAAATTCTCTATTCTTTTTGCAACTTTTTCTGTAAATCTAAAATTTTTCAAAAATAAAAGGTTTACTCAAAAAAATTATTGCAGTTTGTCTACTGATTGGACCTGGACTAATACAAGGAACTGGTCTAGCTAAAAAAAACAAAAAAACAATTGTTTTATGGATTTAACATACATGCTCAAATATATGCATAACAGTAACCAAAGAGGAAGGGATATGGAGATAGAAACCTTGGGAATTCGGCCATTTTAACTCTGCTACTTAGTAGATTACTAGGGTGTGCAGTTGCTTCAAGAATTATCTGTTCCTAATGAGTAATATTAGAGTAACTGCTGCAGACAAACTCCAGGAAACAAAACACAGTGCTCTGGCTCAGAATAGCATTTTCCTATGTGCTTTAAAAAAGGAGTCAGAAGTGTTTTTTTAGAATATCTTTAAAGACTTCAGATATCTGCCCATGTTTATTTATGCTTCTATTCATTATAAACTAAAAGTTGCCTTAATATCATCTTCTGGGATTAAAAGAATATGTATTATCATAATTCTAGAGGCTTCATTCAAAAGTCAGTCAACTCCAAAATAAAGAACAGTTTATTTTCTAGATGGCCTCAGTCAGTTCAAAAACCTATGTACATGGAAACAGCCTAAATGTCCATCAAGAGGTGACTGGATAAAGAAGATATGGTATATTTATACAATGGAATACTACTCAGCCATAAAAACCGACAACATAATGCCATTTGCAGCAACATGGATGCTCCTAGAGAATGTCATTCTAAGTGAAGTAAGCCAGAAAGAGAAAGAAAAATACCATATGAGATCGCTCATATGTCGAATCTAAAGACTCATGGACAGAGAATACAGACTTGTGGTTACCAGGGGAGTAGAGGGTGGGAAGGGATAGACTGGGATTTCAAAATTGTAGAATAGATAAACAAGATTACACTGTATAGCACAGGGAAATATACACAAAATGTTATGATAAATCACAGAGAAAAAAAAACCTATGTACACTTTTGTTTTGTTCACACATTCTTTAGTCTAATCCCTTAGTTTCAGGTAGGCTGCAGCTCTTAGGGGACAAAGTATGATAACAACTAAAATTATTCCACAGCATTCTCACCCTGAAATTAGTAACAAACTCATTTCTCAAATGAAGAAATATATCCATTCTTCTCTTTCCTACTGGTTTATATAATAGTATTTAATATTATTTAAAATATTTTTATATATTCTATTATATATATAATAATATTTTTTCTTCCAAATGTGTAGGCCAACTGTTCTTTAAGCTGGAAAAGTCAACGAAAACAACATTCCACTTGAGGTCGCTCGGCTAGAAAAGTGGACATGAGCCAGGTCCCACATCCCAAACACTGTGCCCCAACAGCATGTGAACAAAATGCCCACTCTCCTCCTGATCTCCAACAGAAGGAAAACAAAACCCTGAAAGACAGTTACCCATTGCAATGGGAAGCCTGTCAGGGGCAGAAAGACACACATACACATACACACACACACACACATGCACACACAAGCACTCTCTGTTCAAGACATAATAAAAAGGCTCTTTCACATGCAGTGTTCTGTACACTGACAGCACAAGGACTTCCCCTGGAGATGCTGTTTTAGAGACAGCCAAGAGATCACAAGTCTAAAACAAGCAGCAGTTCTCACAAGATAGAGTCATCTCCCTAGTCAAAATGGGAGTAAAAATTCCTAAAACAAGCTCATCTAGGCTGCTTGAAGTACTTTTGAACTAGTTTCAGAAAATTGTTTGATAGCCATAAGGACAAATTTGTGTCGTCATGAGAGCCTGCTCATTTTTAAAAGTAATACTTCCTTTCTCTTAGTGTTAACGTTTCATGCATTACAATTTAGTTGCACTTCAATTCCTTCTCACACTTTTTTCAAGGCAAAATGAAGTATAAAGGAACAGGAAGAGTACAAAATCACACACGCAGCAAACCTAAGTTTTAACTGAAATTTACAAAAGCAACTGTATTATATGACATTCCATCATTTAATCCTCATAATAATGAATACAGGATTTTAAGTGCAACCTGCTTATAGTCCAAAATACCAGCATCTTAGAATTATAATTCTAACACAATAGAGACAAATGATATACTATATTATGAACTGGTTTAATATCTAAATGTTTATGATTTTCCATTTGTTACAAATAATTCTCCCCAGTTATCTGAGCAAGTACTTATTTGCACCTCAGAATTCAGAGATAAATAAATACGTTAAGTACTGAAAATATCAGTTTTACTTCTGCTTTAAAACCAACAAGTGGTGAATTTTTCTCACCAAGAAAATATGTTAGATAAATAAACAAGTAAAAACAAATGTTAGAATACAGTGGTTATATTACTGCAACTGCCTTACTGAACTAAGCAGTCTTAAATTCTGGACCCTACTCTGGAAAATGCATTCATATTCACAGAAGTATCAGAACCAGATTACTGAAATCTCCTTTCCAAGCATCTTTCTTTATACTCTATTAGTAACAGTTCTGTGCATAACACATGCACAGATTTAAAAGAAACTGTATTTGTGAGTTGGATTGGGAAACTACACCATGTTCTACATCGGGCTAAAGAGGTAAATCCGTGGCTCATGTAATCTGCAGACAAGGGGCCCATACAGCAAAAAACATCCTGAGACAGACAGCAGCAGGTGGAAACTTACCACTGGAGCAGTTGGTCCCACCCCAGCCAGGCTCACACTGACAGGTGTTTGGAGCAATGCAGCGACCATGGACACATTTATCAGCACAGTGGGCTGTCAGAGAGAAAAATCAATCAAACAAGGAAAGTTGGCACAAGAAAAAAACCCCAACAACACAGCTGTTTCACATCTCAGTCTCAAGTATCACTTAAAAACAACATGCATGCTTGATAATTTTCTTCAATCCATTCCTCAGCCCTCTTACAGTCCTCTGTGTAACCAAACAATTCCCCTTCTTATATTGGTATCGCCAAGTAAATTCCTTCATTTCTACTATTTAATTCTACTTCATGCTAAATTAGGAAAGAAGTTTCAAGGAAAATTGCCTAATCCATTTCAAAAAATTATCAATGACTACCAAATATATCCTTTTTGTTTCAGGAGGAGCATATGTGGATGCGGAAACAAACCACAAAGCAAGATCTCAGGACTCCAGAGCAACAGAGTAGACCAAGAGGCACTCCCTTTACATAATACCTTCACTTGAAACAGTAGTCAAATGTCTTTGTGTGCATGTTATTCACAACTATGACACAGCAGAATTAGATGTCCTTTTTCTATTGAGGAGAATATTCGAAAAATGTCACCCAGGTCTTTAGAAAACAGTAAAACTCAATTCCTCTTTCATTAATGAACATCACAGGTGTGACCCAACCCGTGAAGATAAGGAGTATCATTGGAAACATGAGCAGATGGGTAGTCTGATGATTTCCAAAGCAAAGTTCAGTGCGCTCACAGAAAGAGACATCATAAATATGCTGTGCTGAACATCAACATTACTCTCAACCTTAGTGTCACTCATGTCGGTTAAACCTTCTTTAAAATACCTGGATATATGAGTAACTGTGAGAGCATATTGGAAGAGTTTGGATTTCAGGTTTCCTAAAACTTTATTTAAGGATAGGATAAGATATCCTATGCTTTAGAGATAAGTTTTATAAATTCATGTCTTATTACAGAAGCAAAACAGGTCTACTGTCCAAATATAAAATGCCAATAAGCAAAATACACCTGTTTCTTTTTCTTGAGGAAGAAAAATGTTTTTCAATTTGCCTTTCCACTTAATTGAATAGGGAAAAAAATCTTTCTATGCGATTAAATATTCTTCTGTGATATTTATATGTGTGTATAGTCTAAATTGTGTACACATTTATATAATATATAAATATATATTGCTGGGCCAAAAGTGATAATCACTTCTAAGGTTTTTATCAAAAAGATTTAGACGTAAAGGACATAAGAGAAGGGCGTCTTAGATGAAGAGAAAGCGAAAGCAAGAAGTAGCAAGAAAAGCAAATGGAAATGAGAAGATCTTTTTGAGTGCAGTGTTTCGAGCAATAGCTTCGGAAGAGAGGGAGACACTTTGAAATCCAAACTAAGGTGTCAAGACTTTACTCTGAGAATTAACTGGAATAGTCTAATGAAAGATAGAAATTTGTTTCAAGAAACCACCAGGCAGAGGACACCACAACAGAACTAAGTGACTAAAATTTCGGGAAGAGGTTCACTTCCTGTTACCAGAATAATTCTTTAGTACCCAGGCAATTTGGTGATGCGTGCCGGGCCAGGTGAGCTAGAGATTTTGACAACAGAGTTTCAAGGAGATTCTTAGCAACTTCATAATATTTGATAAAGACAATTACATATATAATTGTAATCAAAAACAAAATCTGCCTGTAACATATGAACACACTGCCCTACAACATGTTGACTTATGCTGCCAGGTTAAGCTGACAGTGCCAACCTCAGGGGTCTGTGCCTCCTGCCATCTCTATACATGCCTGACATTGTAGATGTGTTGTTCATTTTTACAGTCATAGCTCTGTACTGTTATTGCTTTAAAATTTATGTATGCACAAACAAACCAGCAAAATACCTTAAGTGGAGCATGCAAGTCAATTAAATGCCATGGAAGGCTTGGGTCTAATTGTACAGGGCCTGCTCTGGACGCTGTACCACACTACGTTATCTGGTACCACTTGCACCAGGACACTCCCATCTCACAGAGAGCTGGCACCCACTGTAAATATGTGGACAGGAGAGTGCTTGGTCTAACTTGTCTTAGGTATTGATGGTATATGTGTTCCCAACATGCTGTTAGTGATCAGTGTTCAGACCCCAAATTCCCAATTTCACCTTCTTTTAAGACACTAAAACTATTAAAAATTTGGTTTGTATATTTAAGAAGTTTAAAAAATCAGATACTATTTTGTCTTTAATAAGAAACAAGAATTTTCTGATACTGTGCATTTAGAAGAAAACACAGAAATTGGATATGGTGAAAACACTTCTTTTCAGGAAAAGAAGTGTCACCCATATTCTCAAATGGTAAATTTTTGTGTTTATTTAAAATATTCTTGTTCTCATCCATCACTTTATACTAAGGAAATGTTATAAATGTTAAGGTATAAGGTAAATTTATATCAATAAAATAATATTTTGCTTTGATATCTTGGGCACCTATATAAAATATAATTTGATGGAAAAGTCAATTCCACCATTTGAAAATTTGAAACTCCCTGGGTTCCCAGGACACTGGGTTGGAAGACAGCAACCTGGGATTTCATACCTGCCGGGTGGGGGTGGCCAGGAGGGGAGAGTTTGGATGGGTGGTTCAATGGGCTGGTCTTAATTTGTCACTCTTCTTTTCCTCTCTCCTTCATTTTTTTCACTCCTTATCTTCCCCTTCACTTTCTTTTACCACTCATCTTTCTCTCCCCCAAACTACTTCTTTGCTATGCATAGTCACCATACAGGCTACAGTTTAAACTTTCGAGTTTAGCTGTAGTTGTGTTAGCTCTTAGCTCCTGAGTGATCCCAAATGATTTCCCCTGTACCCACCTGAATAAACCAGAAAAAAGGTAAGATTGAACAAACAGGTCTAGCACCTTACCTCCAATATCAAGATGACCTTCACTAAAATGGATAAAGAAATGCATGATTTAAGTTAAGCCCGTGTCCCAAAAGGTTATGAATCAGAATTGCATATGCTTGGATCCCAGTTGATTGTTTTTTGTGATTCTTGTTTTGTTGATTCCAAAAAACAATATTAAGTGTATTTCTACATGTAAAAACTCAAAGGAGATCTGCTTCACAATGCTTTGAGATTACTGAATAATTATACGAATGTTCTCATGTTTGATTCCTGATGATGCAAACTTTGTGTTCTATGAAATGAACACTCAGAAGTCCAGTCAATTATAATAAATGAGAAAAATCCCATGATGTAATTTTTAAAATCTAGATTATTTTTATGAAGAATTATTTTTATGAAGAATTTATAAATTATAGATTACATTTATTATTTTCTTGAAATAACATTTGGCTAAAGTCTGAAGCAAAATGTAAATAGTTAGCAGAAAACAAATTAGTAAGTTAATTAGGAATTGAAAGGGGCAATCTGCTTTTCTAATGATTTTTTTTCTTAATTAAAGCTAGAGTCAAAGGAATCACCTCTAAGCACTGAAGCCTAAAGTCAAATAATGATCTAAATAATGGAAAATGTTGTTGGTATGGGTACTCAAAGGAAAGAACACAAAATTCTACTGCCGTGGTGCAGAACTGTCACCTGGCATTAGATGGCAACACAAGTGCCAGGTCCATCCATTGCTCTCTCCTGTGGCTCTGGACTCTCCACATGCAGCAACAGCTCTCACCAAGTACCCACAAGGCTAGCGGGAGCAAAGGGAGACAACAGAGGAGAAGAGCGGAAGCTAGAAAACACTCTGTTTCCAATGTCCCAACTCACCCAGTTGCTGGCACACTAACCATGGGACATATGGTGACAAACACAGACCCTCCCTCTGGGAAAATGGCAGAGCTAGATCCTTCCCTACCCCATCTTTCCTCTTTCAGCCTCAAATGCCACCAACTCTGGGTGTCTAACTTTCATGACTAACAAACTCCATGTGAGAAACCAAGGTGGGTAAAAGACATCAATTTGTTGTAGAGAAAATTCCAAAGTCAGCTGGAAAAGAAGAAAGGGGACAGAGGTCCCCCTTAGCAAATGTTCAGCAGCTTAGATTTCAAGGACAAGCACAAAAGATCCATCATAAGTATGACTTTCTCATCAGTAGAAACTGTCATTTTATTCCCTATCCATGTCTTTTCTTATTTTAAAAAAAGCAATTAAAACTAGGGAAATACTAGTAAAGACAATCTATTCAATATGATTACTTTTCACACGTCTCTTTTAAGAAAATCATTAAATATCATATTCTGAGTTTTCAGTAATCTTTTATAGAGGCCAGATATAAGCTAAATATGTGGACCCATACTTGGTACACTGCTGCAGACACATCAAGTTGCAAGGAGCAGCCAAGGCATCTTCTCCCTCAAGAACTGGGGGGTGGAGGGCGGGCAAGAGACAGTAATGAGAAGAACATGCCACGTCTTTGATGTGAAAGCACTGGACAGCCTGTCTGCCTGATGGACAGGTGAGGGCTGACCTGATGACCCTGGAATCTTCTCTAATTAGGCTCCTGTTTCAGCCTTAGTTCCTAAATCCACTTAAATCCCACTGCCAGTGACTGGACCTCATTCCATTCCCTTGTAAATACTTAGCTTTAAAACTGAGAGCCTCATATAATTTCCCTTTGGATTTACACCTAGGGTATGGCAAAAAGGTAAACGTTAAGAGTAGGCAGACTAAAGACTCCTTTAAACCAATTACATCTCTAAATAGTACCCACTGTTGTCCTAAAGGATATAATATAATCAATTCATTTAAGTTAATTTGAAAAATGTTTCCATGATCAAAGTGTCTCTTGAAAATAAGTGTCCAGTAAAAACACAAACCTTCCAGCTAATCTATCTTTGCTCAGAATTTTGCTTTTATTTTGGTGTTATGAATAAAGAGCATAAATCACATTTTTTTTTTACCGAACATCATTCCTGCATTTTTCAGACAAGAAAACAGAGACTAGGAAAATGCAATGATTCTCCTAATATTCACAGCTGGCATTAGAGGCAGAAGTAGGAGAGAATTCAGGTGCCTGAATCCCAGTGGACCAAAACTTTCAATGAGTTTGAATGGAGGTGGGGATGCAGGGGTG